CTCAAGATTAAGACCATTGGGCTTCTATTAGAGGTTCCACGGTATATTGTTGGGTGTAAAACATACATAAAAAATGCACTGATGCGAAAAGGTTAATATACAGTATTGATTACCAGCCTTTAAAGTATGTAGATTTCCTCGTATGTTTGGTCAGCCGCTGGATATACAGTATACCATGAGATTGTCTAGAAAAAACTACACAGAATACCGTTACCTGCCATTTGAATGCGCCTAAGATACGAATACGTAGTTTTTCAGACACTTTTGATGACCTCTACCTGACCTGATTATCTCCTGAATACTGAATACCGCACAACATCCATCACACCCATTATAGTGAAATTAAAAAAAATTGTTTCATGTCTGAACTGTATTTATTTTTTCTTAAATCAAATGAGCAACAAATCTTTAAAATATAAATTACTGTAGAGAGGCCGAAGCAGATGAAAATGAACATTACTTGGTTGTACCCTAATCAAGAAGTATTGCAATGCTGGGAAAAAAAAATAATGCGGCAGCAAAAAAGAAATCATACTATGATGCAGGAAAGTATTTTAATTTTCTACATACCCTAATAATATTTTAGTCAGAAACAGGCGTAAATGATCAAATGGTGACAAATGTAGGGTATTTGATTTGCTACAACCAGTCCCAGGTTTTGTGCCAAAAACACGCCAAAAATATGTAAACACAAGTTAACAACAAAAGTCAGTCAAATAAACGAAATGTCACTGAACATGAAAATCTCAAAAAAAAAAATTAAAGTGAAAAATAAATGTATTCTACAGTATAATAAAATACTTACATTTTATAGTTACACTACAGTAAATCTGTACTTTTCTATACATGACTGTACATTTTGTTTTCTCTTGCTGTGTGGTAGGCCTACTGTACCAAAGGTTGAGATCAGCACCAAACTAATACTGTATATCATGAATAATGTGTACATCCACAGAAATTTGCAAAACGTACCACATGTTGCTTCAAAGACAAGATATTGAAGAAAACACCTTGTTTTTTGATAGCAGTATTGTCACACCCATTGTTACTCTCACAGCATTGTTTATGTCCATAAACCATAAAGGTACACAATTAAAGGTTAATTCGTTGACCATGGGTTTTGACAAAATTCAGGGAAAAACTTGTAAAATGTTATGATGTACTGTGAATAGATACTAGTATCGATTGGTTTGTATTTTTTCTTGCAGATGGACTACAGTAAATGTACAGTACACTGTATTGTGCACATGTCACGATTTCATTATAATTTCCACATAGTATAGAATGTATTCCCTTTGAAAACCACTATACAGTAATACCGAATGTACATTTTACATCTATAATTTTACAATATTAATATTATACACAGGTATTAATATGGATGATCATGGAAAATTTTAGAAGGTTGTACAAACAATTTGTTGTCAAGTTACAAGCATATTATCGTTAAGCATGATACTTAATCTTAATTATTTTCGATGAAGAATATAACTAAAACATTTACAGTACGAGAAAATTTTTTAAAGTGAAAATTTCATGTACATTATTTTGCTTCAGAAAGTCTATACAAAAGGTACAGTACTATCGTTAGTAGAATTTCTTTTCAATTCAAAGACTTCTATTTTTAAATTACAATGTGGATTTAATAAAAATCAAATTCAAATATTCCAATTAAATATCTATAAGGGGATATTTCTGATAGAATCACTACTGTAAAAACAGATTGCAGTCAGTTAACTACAGATAAAGAGTGTGAGAAACTCAGCATTAAACGGAATAGATGTAGAACAGAGCTTTAGCTTATAATGCCATGCAGGCGTGTTGATTCAGCAGACATCAATCACTAAAGAGGAAACATTTAGATGCAACTATATTATGGGAAGCTTTCAAGTCAAAATCATAATTAAATGACATGCTTTTCCCCTGCAGACATGACCTTTGTGACCATGCTTCACCTATTTCAAGAAATCTGTTTCCTATTCAATGTATACATACTACCATACTGTATTTTGTATACTGAATGTTATATTACTGCCTGCCTTTTGTTAAATACTTGTTTGTCAACTGTAAACTGTAGTGTAAAAGTGTGTCTCCAGATTTTAACAAAGATGTACTGACATAGGGAAAATGGGAAGACGAATTTCTTAGTCATCATCATAATATTCATGATAATATATTCTGAATATACATTTATACCATGCACTTTTTTTTTAATGCAACCTACAGACTTACTACTTAAATTATCATGAAGATATTGTTAAATAAATTTATCCATTATTGCAAAATGAGTCACTCTAGTTAGTAATTAGTTGGCATATCATTTGGTTGATTCAACTCCACCCAGTTTTATTGCCCTACAGTAAAAACTGTATTATCTCTTTTGTAGCCATAAATATGGTATCATAACATTTTTATACACATGGGCGGATCCAAGGGGAGGATGGGTACAGTAGATCCACCTTAAAACCCACCTAAAAAATCCGTAGGGTAGGACTGACTAGGAAAGGCCTCTATCAATAAACATTCTTACACTGTACAGTACTACGTCATGATATCCTGCAACAGATAGCAGTAGTCATATACTTCTCACAAAACAACCTACACACGACAATTTAAGGCAGGAGTGGGCATAAAAATAGGTCAGCAGGCCAAAGTCTAAAAAATTTTAAATTTGAGAAAATTTAACCATCATTATCAGACCTTTGTAAAAAAAACAATCTGTACAATTATGAATTATGATACACTGAATTTCATTATATAAAAGATAATAAGAAAATTTATAGTAGTTAATAGTTCACAGGCATACCCCATAGCTGTAAATAAAAAGGCCTTTTACTAGTTTTTGTCCTATGCTCAGCAGAAACATGTCTGTGCCCTTTTCCTAGAAATGAATTTGCATATTACTTTAATTTGCGGCTGTAGAAAAATATGACTGATAAATTAGTAATTAAAAAACTAAATACGGTATTATGGATCATAAAATTCAGTGAGAATAGGAAAGAGATGATCAGGTCAAAGGACATGGTCAAGGTCATGCACATTTTGTTTTAATACTTGAGCATAAAAGAAAATAGTGGAAGCTCCCATCATGCATGGTCTGCGTATTGTTCAGTTACGCACAGGGCGGAAAATGATGGAATCGGCCATCAAACACGTCCTGCATGCTGTTCAGTATTCAGGCACATCACATACTGTAGCAGAGGAATACAAAATATGGAGTGACAAATTTATTTATTTATCTAGTAAAAATTTGACACAGAAATCAGATGTTGAACAGGAAACCATGGGCCAAATGCCCAACTCAAAAAATGGGAACCTCTTCAGAAATAAACAATATATAGGATAATAAACCATTAAAATATACATTGTAATTTTGAGTTGGTTTCTTAATCTTGTATACATTACTACCAAGAATGTATGGCCTATTACTATAGTAATGCATTCTTCTCAAGATTTATAGTACTTACAGTTGTGCCCTTACTGATCAATGAATGAATGCATTATTATTACAATACAACAGAAAAGGTTTGAAAAACTATTCCTGATGACATGATGATACTATTAATAGCATAAGCAGTGATGATATCATTTCCTTATGGATAACAATACATTCTGATGACAACATCCTAGGATTGTCTGGGCAAACTGTTAACTCACAAATATAAACAAGATTGCAGAGGAAATTATTCTACAGGGAAACAATGTAGTAATAATTATAGAAATATTTTTTTTAGTATACTCAATTTCTCACAACCAAAAAAAAGGTCCATTCCAAAGCCCCATAAAAAGACATCCTATACTGTAAGTAGCGAGTTTCTACTTTTGAAAGTAATAAAAAGTGTACAAAAAATATATCCCATTTCTGAAATTACCTTGTTTGTGCTCATTCATTCCATTTCATTTTAATTGCACTTACAATAAAATATCAACTAGGCCTACACAAGAAATTACTTGGGCCTAACTACTTGCTTCTGGTTGTGTAGGTCCGGTTAGAGTAGTGATGGGAAGATTAATTGTTAATTCGGCATAAGGAGTGCATACCTGTAGGCCTACTGTAAGCTAGTAGTGAGTAGTAGAAGAAAAAATAACTATGGGCACATAGAAAAAATTATTAGATTATCACTCTTTTTTTTTTAATTGAGGAGGGAGGGGTTTTTTGATTTTTTTAAATTGGAACAATAGATTATTTCACTTTTGTTTTTATCGATAATGGAGGGACTGTTTATATTTGGTATGTAATAGTAAATATTGTATAAAATCTGGTTTAATTTTATAGTTTTTAAAGAAAATGTATTTGAAGTCACAAAATTGCATTGTTATTTTATGCTGTTGAAATAATTGATGCGGCAAAAAAAAAATATTTTTTTATTCCTGGATCAATATTTCCCAAATTTTTGATGCGGGTGGGAGTGATAATCTAATAAATTTTTCTATTTGCCCTAAACTCATTTTATTGCTACCAACTCCAAAATCCCTGAATGGATGTACACAGTAAGCAGTGCCACTGTATTTTGTATTGTATTGATTGATTGACTGAATGGTCAGATTTGTTTTCATCAATTGTGCAGATTTAAGATTAAGTTATGATTACTGATTGGTGGACAATATTTTCTCTAATTTCAGATAAATTTGCTTCTACCTTAACCATGCACTAGGCCTAGGCTAGGCCTACTACTATATTACTATAGTAATCCTAGGCCCTAGGCCTAATTAGGTACACCCGTGAAAGTTAAAGGGAAAGGATACACACATAAGATTTACATTTGCTCTAGGTCTATGTTTACAACATGCAACCTAAGTCGTCGACGTTGAGTTCGTCAACCCTTCTTGTGAAAGAAACCATTCCAGAAAACACAACGCCCGACGCTATCGCATGTTGAAGCGGAAATACAATTTCCAAGTCCAGCAGGATGCAACATGCTAGCTTGCCGAACCGAAAAACAGATTGCAAACCGAAAATTAAAGTGTAGGAAATGAACAAGGGGCATAATTTGCCTTACCTGACTTTGCATTCATCAGCATATTGCTGTTGGTCTACATGGTGGTGATGAGAGCAGTGGTGATGAGTTCGAGTTACACACCCGGAAACGTTCTATTCCCTGCTCCTAGCGTAAACATTGGAAAGAACTATGATAAAAGGTCAAGGGGCATTACTTGAATGAAATTATCAATTGTGTTGTTATTATCTATTGTTACAATAATTATAAGAAATAACAATTTTGCATTAAAATGTAGTTACATAAATAATTTACTATAAAAAAATATTTATAACAAAATTATTTGTTAATTTATAAATGTTAATATAAAATAATATTACAAAAACAGAACAATTACATATAAAGCTCGTACCATTATATTACTAGGGAGATGTATAAATTTATGTTACGTTCACTCTAAAGAATATGTTATTTCACACGCTTTGGATTTATCAATATATAAATAATTGGTTTTATAGTGTATTGGTACCCACTATACAAATATAAACTTATTCAATCTTAACAGTAGACCAACAATGTATAAAAGTATACCCATTACAATATGGATTAACCTAAATCGGTCTTTCCCAACAATAACGAAAGAAAGGTACACTGTTCTCGAATAGAGCTCAGGCCTAAATCTGGCAACGTGTACTAATTCTAATTGCCATCGAATTGAAATTCCTCCAAAGAAATACTCTTTGATATACTAATAACATAAAATGGCATCTACTTCCGAATTAGCTTGCGTTTACAGTGCACTAATTCTTCATGATGATGATGTAGCCATCACGGTAAGTACAGTGCATGATACCCATCTGACAAGCATTCAGACAGTAGAGATAGAGGGCCCGAAATCATGGTCATTCGTAGTTTTTATTTCTTTGCAGAAGATATTAATTTAGCATGGTAATTTATATGCGATTTTCAGGCGCTAATACGGTTTCGCATCCGGCCCTGAAAACGGTTACCAAATTATTTGAAACTTGCAATTATTTAACACTAAGCTAAGGGTTAAAGTAACTAAAAATCATGTTCTTTGATGATTTGATGACTTTCATTATAGGCCTAAGCCTCTTATTATTCCATAATTAGTATTACGGTTCTAATTAAGTTAACCAATAATTAGGACGGTATACCGATAGTAACAGATCACAATCAACTCCACTCCGCCGTACCACACACACAGTAGATTCTACGACTGCAGGTTTCCAGGGTCTGTCATATAATTTGAGCCCAATTGTAATTTTTGTGACTAAATTATATTTTGCTGCATTAGGATTCTGGAAACTTGTATTGTTTTGTAGTTCATCTTTTTGTATTATGTATTTTTCTTGATGAAGATTAAATAAAAGTGAAAAGTAGAATAACATTTTGAGTGACATTAGCCATGTTCTCACGATCACGCCTATTCGATGCAAGTTAATGAGAAATCCAGTCATTTTATCGTATGTCTACACAAGAGTTTTAGTGGATAGTTATAGCGCTTACACACTGATATAAAAAAGTTGAAGATTAAAATTATTTCTTTCTATTGATCTCATGATGATGTTTCAATAAAAGACGGCAAAACAGAAATTACATTAGGCTAGGGCCTGCCTGGGCTACAGTAGGCCTGCTTTGAATTGGTTAGGCAGTAGGCCATCCCAACTATCGACAAATAAATTAAAAGGCAAAATATGTTTAACATCCAATGTTTTCATCTTCACTTGGTAGAGCATTCTGAAAAAGCGAAATAAAACTCTCTGAGTTTTTTTTTTTTCCTCACCTACCATAAGCCTACCTATTAATATTTAGCAGATTTTTGGCAGCATTTATAACCCGAGCCTCCAAAATGTAGTATGCGAGTACGAACGTTTTCGTGGTTCTTCTTGCTAGAGTGTGTGAATTGCAGTGGCTAAAGTGACAGCGAACAACTACCACGGTATTTTGCGGATTTCCCAAAAAAGACATGAAAATTTATATGAAGTTTACAACGAACTGTAATAATATAATTTAGTACTGTAATGTTTTTTTTATACTTTTTTGACAATTATTAAGTTAAAAAGGTAATTTTAAAGATGCTTTGGTTGATAGTAATATGAACCAACTAAGCCTAGAAGAATTGCCTCCAAAATGAGACCGTGGTCAAGGTACTGTACAGATGTTATTGCAATCAACAGGTCAATTTACAGAAAGTTCTGTCAGATGAGAGCCTTGCCAATCCGGTCGTTTGTCGGTGTTAGCTTGCAGGGTGAAGCGCTTGTTTTCTATCAGGTGACCCCGTTCATACAGTCAGCGTCAGCGCTTGTTCGATAACTACAATATCACCGGTGTAACTTACACCGTCAGAACAAGGCTAATCATACTATCCACTTAGGCCTAGGAGCGCTTAAACTCAGCGCACATTTTTGGCCCTGAATTTGGCAACGCTGCAAAGTTGTTGACATGCACTACAAGCCGGGAGTGTAAGATCGTGCACCGCGAAGACGTTAACAATCATAATTAATGGTTAATTAACTTAATTAGAAACCATAATTGTTGGATAAATAACATTTTGAGTGACATTCAGTACTATTTCCACTTACTGTAGGCCTACAGTAAGACGGTCTTAACGGTTAGCCGGCTATAATCGTGACGTCACTACTGGTCTACGATTATAGACCATTGCTGGTCTATCCAGTTAGCCGTCTAAAATTTTACTCGGAGGAGGCTTAAAACGGTCTTAAGATCATTTTCATCATGGCGTTCTGCTTATTAATTCAACAGTGCAATGGCAAGACCTAGGCCTACAGTAGATCGTCAAAGTCGGAGAATCGAACGACGAACACTCCGCACACTTTGCAGCGTCTGTAAAAATAGGTCTACAGCGTTAATTTACGTTCATTTCGATACATTTGCGAGCGCGAGCACGCATGACGCTGCCCTCAATCTTACGTTACCAGGGAGCGCTTGTTTGCGTTTCAATACTCAAAGCGGTCTTAGGGAAGACTGTTTTATAGCAATGTGGTCTTTTAGAGGAATGACTTTAGGGAGACCGTCTAAGTGATAAAGCCGGCTTTATTCGAGAAGTTAAAACTACCAGTTAAGACCGTTTTATAGCAATCCGCCCCTGGAGTGTAAGATGGTGCACCGCAAAGACGTTAACCGTCTTAATTATAGTGTTAAATAATTTAGTAAACAATGATTTTAGGACTGGATGCGAAACCGTATTAGTGCCCGATTTTCATACGTATTGTATTTGTAGAAGCCCAACTTATCTAGGAGTGTGTGTTCGTAGGTAAAGACAAAGCAAGAAAAACTTAGGCCTAGGCTACAGTGCAGTATGGGTTATCTTAAATATTTTATTTAAAAAAAACAACTTTCGCCTTGCATAATGAGTAGGGCCTAATTTTTTTTTAATTGTGAAAATTTTGGAAACCAACCAAATACTATTAGGGCGTAGAACTAGCAATGGAGACTTTTGTGTTGTTTTGACGACATTAATGAGATCATAAAGTAGGCCTAGGTACTGTATGTTATTGTTACAAGCGTGACGTCACACTTCAATATTTTGGTCACTCTTTCATGGTGGCCTTGCACTTCCGTGTCATGATGTTTAAAATTGCATTTCTGATTGGATATCAATGATGTCATGCATTGATAGGCAATTTAAATTTTAAAGAACGGTCGCGCGTTTGTTTTGTCTTCATCCATTGTCTATTTCCGCTGCAGTTTATGTCTGAAGTATTATTATTATTATTGTTATTATTATTATACTCGAATAAAATCCACTTTTGTGGTCAGGATAGTAAATACTGTAGTAATTCTAATGATTATAATAGTAATTTAGAGAGATAGGTAATAAACATTTTGACCAAATATGAAAGAATTTTAACAACCGTCAAGTGGTTTTTGTATTAAAGCTAAGAAGTCAGCCATCTACCCGCAATCACAGTGCACTGTACACTAAATTATGGCATCGCTCGAGTTTCGCCAATGCATAGTGTTGTTTTTTAAGGAGGTCACAAGCACTACATACAATCCCTATGCCAGATTTCCACTTAAAAATATTCTTTTGAAAAATTATATAAAATCAACCACTAGCTCAAATTGAATCAAATAAATTTTATTTTAATATTTAAATGTTAGAGAATTAACTTGCATCACTATTATTTGGATCCACACAAGATGATTTTCTTTTTTAACATACCTAAAGGTGGTGCCAACGTTAACATCTTGTAAATAATGTACTTATTATAAGTAATTAGGTCATGACCTGACGAAAAACGGCGTCCTGCCAACGATTGGTCAGCGTACCTTAGGCCTACTCACTCTTGCTGAGAGCCTATTTCTGCAAAAATTTTCTTGTTCATAACCTCACACAAAAATGTATTATTCTTTTAGGCTGACAAGATCAGCACTCTGGTAAATGCTGCTAATGTGTCTGTGGAACCATTCTGGCCTGGTCTGTTTGCCAAAGCCCTTGAAGGTGCATCAATCGCTGACCTCGTCAGGAATGTAGGAAGTGCATCAGCCGCTCCTGCTGCAGGTGATGCCGCTGGTGCTGCAGATGCCCAAGCAGAGGGTAAGGATTGAATATGATGATGATACAATTAATTTTAATAAAGGGTGTTCTTTCTCCCCTACTAAAATAGTATGCTTCTTAACTACAGTACACGTCACATTTAGGGGTAATAAACCAACTGATAATTTTATAGGGTTTTTAATAATATTAAATAGAGGTACTGCATGAATTATCTTCCTTCCATTAGGTGTTCCTTAGACCTTTTGGATTTTATCATTAATAAAATTTAACTTTAAAGTACTGTATAAATTAACTACAGTAATTTACCTCTTTCATCAACTATGGAGCGAGCACAGTCATTATTGATAAAATTCCACTGTTTGTCAATCAGTTAAATTCTTTAAAATAAACTTACAGAGTGCACATACTTATGGAGACCTCTGTGCGCTCAACATAAATATGAACAAAATTGACCAAGAAACTAATACTTAATCTATACCTAAAAGACGTTGACTCCTTGTACGCCCTTTGTTCAGCTATTTTTTTCAATTGCTGCTGGTGATCATCCACTCAAAGGGGTTGTTAGTTGGTCACTGGCGGCTCGAGTGGATATATTTTAACATCATACCCAACACAGCTTAATCTTAAATGTTTTTACCTATCTAGTTGACCAATTAGACCCCTGCTGGTACATCTACATGTTTCAAAGGGGACCAGCTGTAGCTGAATGTGCTACCTTTAGATTGCATAGCCTAACTGTAATCATTTTCTATCTACAGAAAAGAAAGAAGAAGCTAAGAAAGAAGAGACAGAGAGCTCAGATGACGACATGGGATTCGGTTAGATTTAAAAATAATTATCTTCTCTAGTAAAAAAAAATCAAGCAAAAAAATCTTTAAAAAAAGCGCTAAATTTTTTTAATAACAATATTACAATAGCTGCAAATCTTGACTCGCAATAAGAAAGGGAACATCCCAACCCATCCCCGGACTGTAGGTCCTCCATTGACACCGTACGCCCTTGGCGGGAGCATAATGCGTCCCCTCCTGGTCTAAAGCCCTGTCCAAGCTATCAGATTTTATTTGACAAAAACATGTAACATACTTAAATATGTTCAGTATGACATCACATCATACCATATATTAGAATATCATGACTATATATGGGCATACAACAGTTTTCTTGTCAAAGGAATTTTTTTAAGTGGATGGAACTTAATGTTCAGATAACAATTATTTCCTTAGTCCTAATAAGATATAATTATATTCATGCATTTAGTGAAAATCTGTTTTTCTTAGAATTTAAAATTACTGTACTTTTGATGCAATATTTCACAAAAATATTCTGTGCTGTTCTATTGATGATAAACCAAGCACAATTTGATGTTATGTTTGATTGTGTGAACAACGCCCTCTCGTGCTACGTAACCTGACAAATTCATGTTGATAACATCAACGAAAGCTCGCAGTAAGTTTACCTTAAATTGTGCTTGGTTTGTCATCGATGAAACAGTTCTACATTCATAAGAAAACCAGATGAAACTATTTGAATATGGAATTCTGTACATTTGAAATCTTGTTTATGAAGCTATGAGAATATAATGGAAATAAATGTTTTATTCAGTGTTTTTTTTTTTTTCTCTCTGTCTCTTCTAGGTTTCTTTGACTAAGCAAGTCATTTTACACCTTGGACACTGGTTTTGCTGTTCCTAAGACCTGGCATCTCACTATTCAATCAAAGCAAAATACAACATGCTTGTAATTGTAAATCAATAAAACAAGCTGTACACTGTTAAAATTTGTTAATTGGATTTATTTATTTTTGATGTGTTGTTAGATTAATGGTCCAATAGCAACATGTACACACGACGTACTCAAAATAGCTTCAGTTACCCACAAATCTGCTTATTTTTGCAAAACTGGAACTGTATTTGCTATACCTCATAAATATTAATTAGATAACAACATTTTACAACACATAATAACACCTCAGTCGCCTTCTAGTTCCTCATTTTGAATAAATGTTCCTCTAATAAACGGCTACACACCCCTCCCCCCACCCAGAAATGTTAGCAAATCTAATGAAAGCAACATTATTCCGAACACATTCTATTCACATTCTACTCCACTAGAATTTTTTTTTCTATCCTTTATAAGTCTTTATAAGTTGATTACGCAATGGCACATTTTGACGGTTGTACGAGTTGTACAGTAGTTCCACATTTACAGCAAAATTAAGGGCCACTTATTCGAGTACGTTTTATTAAAAAAAATAATAAAGGCCTGCTAAAAAAACTCCCAGGGCGTTTATCCGAATAGATGTGTTGCACACTGTAGAGGAAATTTGGTATTTTACTCTGAAAACACAAAACAAGGCCATAATAGCAAGTCTTCTACTAGATAAACAGTGGCATATCGGCTTCAAAAAGTTACTGATTTTGAAGATTTTTGTTAGTAAAATGTCAGTAAAAAAAGAGAATTTAAAAAACAAATAATTTCAAGTCAATTAAAAGCAGCGAAACATTAACTGCAGCATAAAATTCACGATAGAATACTTTTTTACTCTTACCATGAACCATGTTCCTACCATGACTGCATCTGTACGAAGTGGTGGCACTATCTACTGACACTGTATGTGTGTATATATATATATATATATATATATATATATATATATAGTATATAGTATATATAATATTCCAATCTGCAGATAGTACTGTTTCGATCTTGTTAGATCTCATCAGTGCAGCTCAGGAATATATATATATATATATATATATATATATACTGTATACATACAGGTATATAAAAGAATATTCTAGCCTTAGTAGATTTGTAATCGGTGCCTATGATTAAAAAGCCTAAATCACTTATGGTATGGCTCAGTTGAATTAAAGTGGTGAGCAACAGGGAAGCACTTTTGATGGTACTGTATGTACCTAATTTTTGGTTCTTGTGCTTTCAAGCAAAGGAATGTATAGGATACGCTTCGTGTGTATGTATGTGACATCTATGTTGCGCTGTTTTTTTTAAACATATCCAGATATCTGTTCATTATGAACATCCTTGCCCTATTCAATAATTTTTCAATTTTGACAAATATTAAAGATAACTAACGAAAGACAATACCCCCTACCCTTGAAAAGACTAGTAAACTGTATAAGAGGAAAACATTTATGGAATGTTTTTGACTTTCGTTGTCCAAATGTCTTAAATGTGATAGATTGGACTCTAGGGACTTTTTTGGTTAGTATGGACATGCACTCCAAAAAAACTTCAATTCTATGCTGTGGTTTGGATAAGGTTCTACAGACGCAGCATAGAATTGTGTTGGGGTTTGAGAAAAACAAACTTGATACTTAACAGGATAATCCTTTTGCAGCTTCTATCAAAAGCTAGACTATGTGTACAGTACGGTATAGTGCAACCATTGTTGGCTCTGACCCATAGTTAATGTAGGACCCCCACCAGACAGGTCAAGGGGGTGCGCCCCCCTCCCCCAATCAAACAGAGCTCCTTTCCAAGCCAACACATGTCTATCACAGTCCGAGTGTCATTTCTGGCCATCCAGAGGTTCATTCTTTAAAAAAATCTCATTTGGAAGGGGTAACCCTCTCAAAATCTTCCACAAGCTCCAGCTACCACAAAATATATCCTACAGCTACAACACCTTTTTACCATTGGCACTAAACAAGCAGAACAGAAAAACCTGATGCCAGGATTAATAATAATTACGGTACTGTATTATAATTTTTTGGCTTAAATAGTGCATTATGCTAAAGCCTCAATCGATGCGCTTAACAATAAAAATGGAACTGCCGGATTAACACATTGATGTCTCCCTGGTTTCGGTTGTTGCCATATTGACGTCATCGCAAATGCAGTAGTGCAATATTTCATGAATGCCCGCAGAGGTCTGGTGTGCGGTAGGCTTACGTAATCAGCTTGGACTATACAGTACAGAGAAACATTGATTTGACACCAATAATTTTCAATATCAGTTTTATTTTTAAATTTCCATTTTAAAATATTAAATATATATATCAACTGCGATACAAACATTGCTAAATAAATATATATTATAACAGCCAAATGACATTTTACTGCTAAAATTGTGATTAGCAGACTTCAAATGAACACCTCATAACAAAATATTTTTTTTCATTAAACTACTACAGTATATACTGTAGTATCTTTTTGATGGCTGTGGACAGATGTTGGAGGGGTTGATACGGATGAGTTGCTAATACATTGCATATGGTTTAAAGACGGTACTAATTATCCCTGCGAAATGAATCTGATCTACTGCAGTACTCGTGACAGATTTCCAAATGTAGCCTACTAAATACAGTAGTACAAGTATTGTTTATAGTTTTTTCTTTTATGATAATTTATAAATATAACTTAATAACCAAGATAAATTTATTCTATATTACCGACAACATAATTTTTGAAATTCAGGGGTCCCAAGTTAAGAACCTACTTTTAGGAGATTCGGTAGACTTTCACCAAGTCCCTTTATTTTTTTTTTCTCATTCTAGACAGCGCCACCAACGAGCAAGAAATTAAGTATGGGACGAAAATTAAATTAGGCATGGCGCACACTAAATGCAATAAAGAGTGAATAATCAAGAAATTAGTGCCTGGAACCCAGGCTAGGAGATCTGGTTAAATGAGCTTTCTAATTAGATTACTCATGCAGTAACTGATAGATCCGCTGATTAATCTCAGATAAGATAGTATAGTACTGTACATACTCCAAGTATCGAAATGCATGCCATCGTGTCGGGATTCAATATTTCGACATTAATAATGTCATCAGTATAATGAATTTGCATAAAATGGGTTAGGTCCTGGAAGGTTTCTGGGAGGCTCCTGCACTCGCAGGAAACTAGCGTGGGACCCCTAGGCACTATACAGGTGAAATGAAAAGCCAACTGAAATGTGGATATGCTGCCCTGCCCACCAAAATATTCAAAATCTGTGCAAAACCTTACAAGTAAAAGTAACTTGTGTATTAGAAACAAAACATGCTTGGCATGTAATAACATATGTACTATAGTATTACAGTACTACTTTAAATGATAATACAATACGGCAGATGAAAAAAATCACAAATGCTTTGCAATGCAATATTCAAAGAAAAATCATGAATCATGAATTTTTAAAATAATAATCCTACATATACTACTTGTATTAAAGAATTTAACATAATATGAGTAAATTGTTATAAATTGATTGTCATTAACAAATTAAAAAACAGTTATTAAATCTCAAACAGAATGACAGTATTTTGAATTCCACCTACTGTACCCCTCCCCCACCCCCAAAAAAAGAGCCTTACCATTCTGACCAAATAATTTTTTGCTTTTTTAACCCTGGCTCTTTTCTCCCTGATATGTCTGCTTTACAGATAAAAAAAATTTCATATTTTTTTTTACATAAGTTCAAGATACAAAACAAGTATCATATTCATAAACATAGGCAAGGCACATGAATTTTCAGCATATTTTTTTCTTTACTATAACAAACCTATTAGTTAATAAGTTAGACATCTTATCTATTAAATGCAATCTATTTTATGGATGTATTACAGCACATGTGGGCAGTGATTTTGGCTAGAAACACCTTGTTTTTTATGACCCGACTATTAAAACTGAGAATAAAGTTGCATAAAAGCAGTGTATGAAGAGTTTTAGAAGCACACTGGAAACATCAAAGTTTTGGTGCAGTCCTCAGTGTTAAATCAAAAGTTCAATTTGGCCCTCTGACCAATTTTTATGCCCACCCATGTATTACAGAATAGTTGCAAAGTGAGGCCTGTTGGCAATTAAGTTGTGGTCTGCGAAAATTAATTAAGACCCTAAGTTTGTGAGCCACCTTATCACACCTTTCTGTTAGGCCAGATGCCGATCATCTTAAAACATTAAAACTAAGCATAAAGGCAGTGCATGAACAATTTTACATGCAAGTTTATGTGCATGTGCAGCCCACAGTGTTAAATCCAAACTTTACCTCAGCCCACCAATGCATTTTTCCCCCACCCCTGCAATACAGCATTTACCTTCTGAATTTATTTGTAGTTAAATGAATCTACAATAATTGCATGTATTAGTGTTGGTTTTTAATGATGATGTAAATATTTTGTCTAAATTGTATGTACTGGATTTAAATAACAATAATTTTGAAGTAAGTCTGAACTGTGTTACTTGACCAAAAAGGACATTTCTTAAAACAGTATTGTACTTTGACAAATAAGCGTTTATCTTTAGACCAAAAAGTCTTCAATTTATAAAAAATAAAAGCAGCAGAATTAGTTATATTATGTAATATTCTTAAAGCCAAGTTTCCATAAAAATCGCTACACACTATCACCGACACTTTTGGCAACGCTGATTGGTCAGTTGAATCAAGGAGTGTTCCTGATTGCTTCGAGGACAGCTACACAGTGCAAGGATTTCAGTGAAAATGCTGTAGCGACTGTGTAGTGATTGTATGGAAACCAAGCTTTTTAATGTGAAGGTTTATTCTTAATGCTAGAACTCTTATTAAAGCTATCATCAAGGTAATATCTGTGTATCAGTATTTCATATTAATTTGCCTAGTTAGTTTGAGATTCTCCACTGGCTTCAACCTCCACCCACTCTTTTTCTTCCTCGACACCATGGAAAACCTCCATGATATGGCGGATACACAACATCGAAGCCTCACGAGCTTCCTTTCCTACCATGTGGAAATTGAGAAAGCCATGTGGTAGGTCATCTATAATTTCAAGGTAGACAGGTCGCTCCAGTTTCTTCAGTCGCTTGGCGAAGGTCACACTGTCATCGAGCAAAGGGTCTAGAGAGGCAGCCTAGAGTAAAAAAAAACACTTTGTTTAAAAACAATCATCTATATTGCTTCTGCAATTTCACAAAACTTGCACCACCATCTATGGTCAGAGAGCTTTTGCAGCTATTAGGCTTTGGAAAGAACTTCCTCTTCTTCTACATTGTCCTTTGTTTTTTCCACTTTATGGCCTACTTTGTCTCTCAGTCACTATGTCGGTCCATAATGTCTCCAAATGTAAATCAATGTCTGTTTCTCTTAAATTAAAACCTTTATATTTTCCTTATAAAATTGGGGATAATGTTTTAGAAAAAGTTTCTGTTAATCGCGATCTGGGTGTCTTCATCAACTGTAAGCTTACATTTTGTAAACATATTGATCATTTTATTCATAAGGGAAACAGAATGCTTGGAGACATTGCAGAGAAATAAATAGCCCTGGTGCCGTTATTGCCTTATATCGTTATTTAGTTACTTTTCATTTTGAATATTGCTGTGTTATTTTTAGTTCTTCATCCGAATCTCAGTTAATTCGCATCGATATTATGCATCTTAAGTTTATTATGTTTTTTGAAAAATGTTTTAATCGCCCTTGTAAATTAATATGTCCTAGGAATAGATTTTTATTTCATGATATGGTTTTTCTGTATAAATGTGTTAACTTATACTTTAGTTGTGATCTCATACATCTGTTTGGTTTGCATGTTAATTCTAGAAGTCTTCGTTCCTGTCCTACCTTTAATGTCCCCTTTTGTAGAGTTGATGTCTGTAAACGTAGTTTTATTTCTAGACTTTCTCTTCAATATAGAACTCTTATTTTAACCTCTAATAATTGACATTTTTCACAATAGTTTGTCTATATTTCGATCTATTATTATTAATCATTTGAATAGGTGAGATTTTTGTACTCTTTCGTCTATATATTTGATATATTTAAATTTTATATAAATAAATAAAAGTATGTAGGACAGGTGTGGATGTAAACTCGCGTACTTGCTGCCTTGAGTGAAACACAGTCACACAGGGAGGAAAGTCACTGCAATATGTGCTGTATAAATGGCAAATTACTATTATTATTACTTACAGTATTGTTATGAAAATCAGGACAGCAGTTATTAGAGGCCATTAAAAATGATCAACATTTATTGTATAAACCCTCATTAATATTCTAAGCTCAAATCTCTTTCAAAACCATTTGTATTTATTCATTTTAAATCAAGCACACCAAATATTCTTTCTGTAACAAGTCAGTTTAAAGCCCCATTCCCGGCAAAATTTCACTAAAAATGACTTTTTTTTTGAAAATATGCATTTGCATTACTAGATGTGTATAAGAGACAGTGATAATACAATACGGCAGATGAAAAAAATCACAAATGCTTTGCAATGCAATATTCAAAGAAAAATCATGAATCATGAATTTTTAAAATAATAATCCTACATATACTACTTGTATTAAAGAATTTACACTTTATACAGTCAATAAAGAGCGCCCTCTCTAATGAGATTACTTTTTGTACTTCGCATCTCGCACAATGCGGTCGTTCGGTTAGGCTGAGATATGTTTGTTTAAGTGTCAAAATCTCAATCAGAATCAGTTTTTTAACAAAGTTGAAATAATTCCTAAGAAATATTATATTTCACAAGTGTCAATACTAGCAACGGAAAATATCATGTCGGCCGTTTTTATGTGTGATAACAGAACCTAAATCGAGGTAAGGCTAGGCCTAGCCAACAGCGTTGGATAGGCTAATATTTTCGGCGCCTACGATATTTCTTCTCACGACCTATCGCAAAATCAACATGAAAAATTTATTTTTTGTGTGGAAAACAAAAAATCAAATTTCAGTCTTATTTTACATTTTTTTCATTCTTAGGAATGTCTAAATTCAGTTAAACTAGCAATTCCATATTATATTTATAAATCTTTATACCATTATACAAAAAATAGATTTTTCTTAAAAATTGAAATTTTGCCGGGAATTGGGCTTTAAACACACATATTCTTTAACAAAAAATTTAGGGTTAGTTTAAAAATTAACATATGTTATTTTAATATTGAAACTATTACACTACATTAACTTACCAACAAGTGGATTGGGGGAAGTCCCCTCAACAGGTCATCATCAGCTTTCAATGGTGATAAGTATGCATTTCTCATGATTGGTTTCTCATGGAACTTGCGGATCGGTGAGTCAATGTAAGCTGGCGGTTCTGAATTTGCACTGTCAATTACACCAAACGACTCTTCATCAACATTGAGGTCTAAACTCAAGGAGTCACGGGAGAGGCTCTGACGTGGTGGAATGTCTTCTGGGCCGAGATCATCTGGTGTAGAGTCGGTCTCAACTGATTGGACCTTCACCATTGGAGATATAGTAGATTGCGTTGATAGTATTGCAGCATCAGTAGCTACTGCACCCAAGGCTGATTCCTTCTTCCTTTCTAAAGTAACCACTGTTGCAATATCTACAGCATCAATTTCCTTTGAGGTTTCTCCATTCATTCCATTCATGCCATCAATAAAGAACTCTGAGACTGGAACTTCATCCATTATGGGGCTTTCTGTGGCACTTTTACTTGCTAAAACCTGAAAAGGAATACCAGTATCGTTTGGACTCGTGTCATCCACAGAAACATCTTTCTTTTTATCACCTCCTTTTAAAAGATCTCTTCCTTCTGGATCTGATCTGGAAGATGTCAGCCCATTCACTTTATCATTGGCATGAGCTACAATATCTTTCACACAATTTGCATCTACAAATTCTTCTTTAATTCCAGCATACGATGTAAGACACCGCATGAGGACTCCGAACGGTAGTAAGGGATCCAGAAAGCAAAGAAGACGGGAGGGGGATGGACTGAAGCTGGCATTTAGTGGTGGATAGGCTGCTACAATACCATCAGGAACACGTATTCCATAAGATGCAGCACGCATGGCAACCGAAATGGCTAGATTTCCTCCTGCACTATCACCTACTATGCATACACGTTCACCTGTTGAACCTTTGTCGTATGAAAGAAGTATATAGTTTAAGGGTCAATAATTTAATAAAGACTGCAATGTAACTGGGGGAGGCTAAAGCTCTGTCCAGATTATTATACTTTCTTTGACAAATAAACGAGGGTATGCCCATATATAGTCATGATGTGCTTATGTGATGTGATGTCATCATGACCATATTATAGGCATGTCATATGTTTTTTTCAAACAAAATTTGATACAGTACTTTGGATAGGGCTTTATATGCCAGATTTGGTTACTGATTTTCTTGAGCAAAAAGTTTACTGTATTTTGTAATTTTTTGCTTTCTTTCTGACAAACTAAACAAATGAAAGAACATTATTTTTTATTTATTTTTTTAATTGTTTTTTATTTCTTTCCTCCTTGGTTAAGTTCGCACTTCTAACATAAAAAAAATAAGTACATAAAAGAAATGTACATTGTAAAGGGCCACAGCCAAATCTCTTCTGTCTGATTTATTTTTTTTAAGTATAAAAGGAAAAGATACAAATTATATGCCTTTTTGAGGTATGTTTCAGAATATTTACAGCACAAATGTCTTTAATTGAATTTTAGAGTAATATCATATGAAATTTAAAATACTAATTGATATTTTAAAATGATGATGAATTAACAGGCAAAAGCAGGTGTTTACATGATATGCATAAAATATTAAAATTAAAATGTATTAACACTATTCAAACTTTTAAAATGCATACAGAAGAAGACTTCAACTCACCAAGATGTTGAGCATTTTGGACTGCCCATGCATAGGCAAAGAAACACTCCTCAAATGCACGGGGAAAGGGGGCTTCTGGGGCTAGTGAGTAATCCACAGAAAGGATGGGAACACCAAGTTCTTTACACCAGGAACGCAGATACACCTATCGATTTAAGATACACAATGTATGGTTGGTATACTGTATATCAGTTATAATTGATCGCTGCAATATTGTGCCTTTATAGTTTTTAGATTTACATAAGTACACCTGTCATTGGCAGTCTATTATATAAAAGGTAATTTTGTGTATTTTTGGAGAGATAAGCTAACAAACTGGGCTACGGAATAAGTTACAATGTTATTGTCTTTACGTCTGTTTAACACTCTGCCCGCCAAACACAGAGATCTCCATGTTTCGTAACGATAAGCTTGACCTCCAAACACGATCTCGGTGTTTCAGGTTCATTTAGGGTGTAATTACCGTCAAGTAGTAACAATTTGAACACTATATTCAGTCTGGACCGTAAGTATTTCACTATTTGTTTACAATAGCTTAGAGCGGTATTGATTAACTTTCACGAAATCGCGATTATCTCAGCTACGTTGTGCAAAATTGTGTAAATCTCCAAAAGTGGTCATTTTCATTTTACTTTTACAGTCACAAATTTTGATTAGAATAAAGTGTTTGGTACCATTGTAAAGCTAAATTGTTTGTAGTTCTTGTAGTATTCACTACAAGTCAATCTGATCACATACACACTCTCGATGAGCTTTAGAAAAGTGTTAAAATTTGCTAAAAAGTCTGGCGATGGCAGATACTATTTTTTCAAACCCCTGGCGGTCAGAGTGTTAAGGGTACAACATCGGGAGACAATGCCCCTATCTTCAGAAAAGTAAACTTGCACTCTTTAATATCCAAATGAGCCATATATACTGTAGCTCATGGACTTGTAGAGTAAAGTAAAGAGTGCACTATATTTATACATGTATTTCAGCTCTTAAGCTAAAACACAAGAGCAACTTTTATCTTTATACAGTGTAGCACAAACACTGTGGTTACCAACAATTTAGCAGACACCTAGACTGCTTTCTTGCACCTTCAGCTCTGAGGTATAATGCTTGTGTTATAAGATCTCTAACAACCACAGTGATTTCTTCGGACAGCTACAGTAATTCATCGACAATGCTAGCACCAACAAAAATTGATGGCAGTGCTTAAACATCTGCTGCCCACTAATTAGCTGTCTGCAAATCCACACTATCAAATTTTATGTGATGATTGATCGTTTAATAAAGTTCATTTTTATATACCCTTTTCGGATAATGAAATCGCCCAAACACTGTGCTGTGCTGTGCGTTCAATCTGTTTATTTTTGTCTTTCTTACACAAAAATGTTTTATGTGGTCAAAACATGCCAAACAAATTGATATATGATCGAGTGATATGCACAGTGTATAAGAATTAGTTCAAATTCGGTCAGAGAAAAAGCTACAGTAAAACAAATTGTTTGTACCTCATGAGATTTTGAGGTTTGTGCCACAAATCCTCCTCCATGAAAGTGGATGAGTAGAGAACGTGAAAGAGGTGAAGGTTGTACTTTATTCTCTCTGTTGTTAATGCTTTCTTCTTTACTCTTTGGTAGAGGGAAAAGCCAAGCCTTTACACATACAAACAAAATACAAATATCCATTATTAATACATATCATAAACAAAAAATATATCTGGAGCGGAGTGAAATATACTTTTATTATCAAAATGATTTTTAGATTTTCTGTCTAAAAATGGCTTGTATAAACCACATATTGTTAATGTTTTCTTCCCTTTCACTGTCAACTCTCTGCCTATGAGATGTTCTCGTAGATCTTTCTACCTATCCAGAGTTTCACTTCTTGGAATAGGCTTTAATAGACAGTGAGCCGTCCGGCCGTCTTTCGGACTGCCTACAATTATTTAGGGTGGCCACTTTTACCGTGACAGCTTGGACGGCTTGGCCTAATCAGCTTGGCCTAGCCTAATTGGGCCTGGTCTACCTTTAGCAAATTCTTTATATTTTTCAAATCTATCAAATGTTACATTAAACTAAAGCTAAATACTATAACATTTATGTTTGATAAAAACAACTTTTAGTGATTGAATGTACGTTGTTTTCGAACCAATATTCAGTGGGGATTCCCAAATATGGTCGTGACCACCCCATCGGCTCAGTGCCACGCTCACTAGAATTCATTTTGGGCGGCCTAGTTCGTTTTTCTGGCTAAACCCCTGCTTCTTGGTCTCTATCAATTAATTTATCATACTGGACCTGGTTATTGTTCTCATGAAAACAAATGTACACCAACTACTGTACTGTCCAGACTATAACATTTTATTTGAATAAAAAAAACATGTGACTTGCCTAAATATGGTCATGATGACATCAGTTCATAACCATATATAGGTTTTTTTGTCAAATGAAATGTGATAGTCTCGTCAGGGATTTATAGGATTTTGAAAGATTTTCAGGGATTCGTTTACTGTCTCATATTATAACACACCTAAATAGATTCCAATTGACTGGTTGTTTTCGTACCACGTGACATTAGTTATTTTGCTCATGTCATTGCTCACCGTTGAAATTTTATTCCATCGTTCATTTTTTTCCCCATCCCGAATCGTCCATTGCACGTTACCTAGGATACGATGACTTTTCCCGGAAAATTAAATCCAGAAATGACGTTACGCCTCCTATAATCTTATCCCTTTTTCGTTTTGACCAGAGTATAGAACTCTGGTTTTGACGGTCAAGCAGTGGTTCGTATACCTCTGCTTGTCTTAACTTCAGTGTTGTGCAGCGATTTTATTTACTGTAAAGTATATTAATTGCGTGGATGATATTTAAAAAACTAGCTCAAACTTGCACAAAATCTGAATCGGATTTCTAGCCCCAGGCCTAGGTTTTGCGTGGAGGATAGGCCTAGGCCAGGCTAGCCAGTCCTAGGCCCCCAGGCGAACTGATCTATTTTGGTGTGTTATAAAACAAATAATGAATGTTTTGTATTCGTACAATGGAAAGAATATTTTCATTCCTTGAAAGATTGACTGTTCTATTCAACTTGGCTCTGCCTCGTTGAATGAAACAGTCAATCTTTCAACTCATGAAAATATTCTTCCCATTGCACTCATGAAGATTCATTATTTGTTTACCGACAAATGGAACAAAGAACCTTATTTCCCGACACTTTTTTTTTGGTCAGAGGGGTTAACATTTGTACGCAATTCTCGTGTTTCACAATAACGGCGCCCCTATTTGGTTTAAGTGCGCAAGTCGACCAAGCATGATGAATTCTGAGAAAAGGGTCGACAAGTCAACAGAAGTTAACAGGAAGTAAATTAACATCAAGCGCAGGTGGCAGGGCGGACCGCATTCGTTACCCTGTACATAACGATGTAATTTTCATCTCAAATCACAACTTTTAGGTATGGTCAACACATGTGAAGCCGCAAAATGTTACTCACATACATCAAAATCTTGCAAAATATCCTTGGATGGCTGATGTAACATGGGTTAAGTTTCCAAGGAATGATCGCCAAGCTATGGTGAGATGGAAAAAGTTGATATGGCGCTGTGGCAAAAGCCTGAATATCAATAAAAGATCTCGTCTCTGCTCTCAAGACACTTTGATAAAACGAACATAGATGCAAATGGATTAAGCTCTAAAAACTTGTCTTTATTTTGAAAAATAGTCTTATCAAATCCATAGTATTTGCACATTTTGCGACAAAACAAATATTTTCATACTCAATTTTGTACATTTGGCCAATTCATAAAGTATATAACTGTACATTTAAATTATAAAAAAAATATAATAAAAAAATATTTAATATTAAATATTAATAATTATATTTAATTTTAAAAATTTAAATTTTACATCATGGATATTACATTAATAATTGTCATATTTTTAACAAAACTAATTTAACTTTTAGTGGGATATAGTTATCCAAATACTCTCTATAATAATAATTATTATTATTAGAACATACACCTTTAGATTGGTGGCACTCAAAAATCATTTGGTGCGTTCAAGGTGAAATTAAAAAAAAAACAAACAATATATAATATATTATATATCAAATTTATAATTATAAATATATTATTATAAATTATTATATATTAAATATATTATTTATATATATATAATAATTTATCTTATATAATATAATAATTTATAATTTATCATGTTAAAATAAAATAATTAAAAATAATATTACAGTATTATCATAACTGTTGTCTCAAATAGGAAATGCAAGTCCATGACATTTCGAGTGACATTTTTATAAATTTATCACAGATGTAGTGCAATTTTATAATTCATATTTCATATTCTCTTTTAATATACAATAAATTAAAAATACAACATTAGTGTGAATAATTGTTTATTATATAGGATTTGGCTAATGACAGCTTAAATACTGGGTACTTGTATACTGTATATAATATGATGTATTTGGTAATGACAGATTGTTTGAAAGTTTATAGGGGACAGTAAAACGTCTATTTTACGAACGTGAATTTTACAAATATTCAATTATACGAATGGTCTTTGCCCCTGATGACGTCATCATCGACCAATTAAAAGTACACGCAAGTAGTTAAATATCATCCCAGGCTTCTTTGGTATTGTCTTATTCCGCCGGTAATCCAGGTCTTCAATCCTCACAGGTAAAGATATTTGACGAGGTCTGGTCCATTCACACGGTTTGTCGGTACCAACGACTGTCCCTGTGTCTAAGCGTCTGGTGGTAAAGTTTTCAACAGCAAAAAGCAGGGCAACCACATGTTTGCAGGAATCATCATCACTGTGCAAAAAAAAATGCATGTACAGTAGGCCTATTAAATATTAATTCGCTGCTTCAAATTTGTCATTCATACCCCTGACAGTACTCTATTTGGAAAACAAAAGTTATACAACTGTTATATCATTTATCTTTCAAACATTGTTGTTAAGCGCCTCGAGGCTGTGTCAACGTGAGGCGCTATATAAATCCAGAATTATTATTATTATTATTATTAAATGACAACACACCTCATCCTCTTCATTCACAGATTAAAATTTACAAGCTTTTGTGTAGTTATTTACAATATATGCTGTACATCCATCTAAATTAAGCACAGTAGAGTAATTGTCAAGTCAAATGTCATGTACAAATAAACAAATCTGTCACATTCACAGTACAGCACAGAAACATATAGAAATAAAAATCCAGTAGGCCTATGGGAATACCTAATAGGCCTAAACAGTATTGAGTGATTATGCATGAAAAAATATAAATTTATGACTTACACTGCAACACATCCACAACCAGCAGATTTTATTTTGCCATCAACACTGACAAGGTCCGTTTCTGCTCTGGTTTTACAAGCCCTTTGATGTACCCATGTTGATCATGGTCTTGTATGTAGCCGTACTGAACACTTTCAATGTGCTGGTCCGTAAACATAAGATAACCACCATCCTGCTTGTATTTGGCCATTCTTTCTGAAGTCCAATTACAATGTCTCAATAAATAGGCAAACACTTCACCCAGAGTCAACATTGGCAGCTTAGACAGTTTATTTGACTACTGTGCAACACACAGCCATTAAAGTCTGTGACACTGCCATCATCACCTTCCAGTCATCGCCTTTTCCACTATGAACCTTTGTGGTCACAGTCACCCAACACATCATACATTCCCCGAGCTTTCATTGTTAATTCTACAACTCCTCCTTTTTTTTCCCTGCGCTTTGTACACAGTATGATATATGTCCAGTACTGTTAAGAATTTCATTAATTGATCCACTCTCATCCACTTACACTTACAGAGGTCGCCATCTTGGAAATAGTTGTCGACCGTACCATTGGAAAATACAGCTCTCTCGGTTTCAACGCTGGCGGCGCTAGTATTGTGAAACGCGAAAATTAAGAATATCCATTTGATGTATGTTGTGTAATTGAAATTACATACATGGACATTAATCCAGGATAAAAAATAAATTAGATTCTTGCCATCATCTGCTTTTTATTTTTGCCTCATCCCATTTTTTTTCCAAAATAAATCTGCCCTTCGATTTTAACGTCACGTCCGAGTGCTTTACATACAATATATTTGGGTTTTGGGCTAAAAAGGTTTCAGAAGAGGGGTTTAAACTAACATGTCCATACACATATATTTTTAAAATTAGATACGGAATTAGTATTGAATTATTATTTTTACTTGGCCTAACAAGGAAAATTGAGGGTATTATATTGCTGAGACTGCAGGTCTATTTATTACCCTAATTTTTGGCCTGGTGTGTAGCCAACTTAAAGCTATCTTTCTCAAGAATCTAAAAATATATACAGCACTAATAACTTGGATGGTATTGGGGAAAAATAGCATAAAGAAGAAAAAAAATAATTAAGAATAAAACATGCAGTCATAAATATGTTATTTTACCCACCTGGCCTTCCCTTTCTTGGAAACACAGCAATCTCATCTGTACATGCCCTGGACCAGTGTGGGCACAAGGTGGCGTTATTGTCACACTCTCACCGCCATCAACTGTGGGCATCTCAAAGTTGTGAGGTGAAACTTGAATAACCTTATTAACAGCCACAGGGCCAGCCATGTATCCAGACATTTCCTGTGACCGGAATTAAGCAAGCAGTTTAATTACATAATACTGTAATATATTTGCCATTCACTGTATTGCACTTAATTCATTCCTTGTATATTTGTAAGTAGCTGTGCTTTATGAGAAGTTAACACCCGCATGTAATGTCTTACTTACTATAATTTACACATAAAAAGTATTTACTGTAGTGTTAAGCTGAATTTTGTAGTCAATATATTTATACAATGTTCAGAAAAGTAAAAGCAGTCTTGAAACAAGCCAAATGGGCTTAATCTTGAGAAGAAGCCCATCTTGAAATGAAGCCCATTTCTTATTTGCAAAAATATTCTCAAAAACCCCATCTTGAAAAGAAGCCCATATACTCATTATTTTTCATCTCGCACATCAGACACCAACCAAGGTGGCAGGTATACTTACACTGACAACAGATGCTTCTGTGATAGACCAGAATGCTTTGCAGAAGCTAATGTCACTCTTGTTTGTCATCTCAACAATTCTCTTTGCTCGTTGTTCAGGATTTAGCATGTACTTCCCACTAAAACATTAATTTTTTTTTACACAATATTACTACCAAAAATAAGAAAGTAAACATGGTTGCATGATACTATTTGAACTGTATTCTTAAAATCAGATTTCCAAGTATTCATAACTATGTCTTCAGATTTCTGTAGTAAATGAACAATTTCCGTAGCACCTAATAATTTGCCTTGAGCAACTTGCCAAACCTTAACCTCAAAATTGAGAGACTGAGTCACAACTGGTGTGCCAACTTCCACAACCTTTAAAGAAGTATTGAACTATTTGAAAATTCTTGGAAATTGAGCTTGTGAATAGAATGGTTTGTAAATTATGCTCCTACTGCACAGGTAAAGATACTGGCCACAATTACAGTACTGGAATTTTTGTAAGGACTTCATTTACAGCCAGACTAGGTACTGTACAGTATGTGCAAAAGGTCAGAGGTGGGAACTGCCTCCTTTTGCAGAGAATACAGACCAGTCAATTCTTCATTGTGTAATCAAATTTCATTATATTATTAAATTTTCTTTAAGCTTTGTCTACAATATCAAATTGTATGCGACAAAAAAGTTTGATGTGCCCATATATGGGTATGGTATGATGATGTCATACCACATACTATCAAATTGTATCAAAAAAAGTTGAACATATATTCAACTCTTATTTTCCATCACATTTTATGTGAGCGTTTTTTATGAAATTTTATAGCGTAGACCAGGGCTGGGCATAAAAATCGGTCGGAGGACCAAAGTGAACTTTAGATTTAACACTGAGGGCCGCACCGAAACTTTGATGCTCCAGTGAGCTTGCAAAAGCCTCCAATCACTGCTTTTACATCACCTTTATTCTCAGTTTTAATGTTACTTTTTACATATTATTGGTGTCGGGCCGTAAAAAACAAGGTGTTTCTAGCCAATTTTGATTCATTGTCGCGGGCTGCAAAAAAATCGCAGACGGGGTGCATGCGGCCCGCAGGCAACACCTTGCCCACCTGTGGCATATACAAAGCATTAGTATTGGCTGAAACAGCAGTCTCCACTAAAATTTGGGTCGCCAAATTAATTGGAGGATTGCGAGACTCATTTAGATTTTTTTTAAATTGAAAATTCATATCCTGTTACATGTACTGTAGGCTATAAGAGAACATCATAAAATTCTACTTCAATTTTGTGTACCAATTAATGACCCATTTTTAACGTCCTGGGAAAGTGGGTCGAAGCAATATTGTGGGAAGGGCTCTATTTTAACCAGCTCAGTGGCGAATGCAGGAATTTGAAATAGAGGTGGAACTTTCACATACAGAGGGTCTAAACCACCTGAGGCACACAATGGTTGGGGATGCATAAAAAAATTATGATTATGGCACCACTATGTCCAAAAATGGCACTCTCAGACTTTAATATAATTTTCTGTTCAATTTTTTTTTTTAAATAATTTTCAAAAATTTAGGGGCAGCTTTCCATCCCCTTGAATCCACCACTACAACTACCTGTACTTTGACAACTGTGGTCTGAATTATAGTAAACAAGAATTACTGGAAATGATCAAAACATTCAGCATACCTGTGATAAAGTGCTGTTGCTGTTCGACCAATGACACCATCATATCTATGGTAACCTTCACTGAAAGAGGCCATTGCTATGGAAACTGTTTGAAGTGGCTTGTACATTATGTCGCAAAACTGAAAGGCAGAATTTTATCAAATAACAATATGTGTTTGTATTTCATAATTTCTAAAATTGTCAGGTGCAACAAATTGTCTTATGTAAAGCACAAACCATTAAAACAGCATTCCACTACCAGATTTTACAAATTATCAATGGATGCCTCATATTGAAAACAAAAATGAATTAAAACCAGAAAATACATTGTCTTAAGTTAATATTAGTTTATGATGTCTTATTTGTATGTCAAATTTCTTGTTTTAGTTGTAGCTGTGGACCTGAGGCTCCTCTGGTGCTTCACTACCGGAGAGCTGAAAGATGTGACGCAAAATAATGTCTGTGATGGTATTGATATACTGTAGCATAGTGTCACTTTCTTCCCATGCAACAATTTGCCTCACGTGAGGGTATCATTGTCTAGGGGCCCCAGACTGTAAAGTAAGGCCTGCCTGGGGAACATTGGTTTGCCGGCATATCATATGTATCGTAGCATTGGTCGGATGCCGTACATACAGTATGTACTGTTTATGCTACCATATATGGTTCATATTGGAAGTATAGTAATATAAATAGCCAGCAATGCATTGAGAAAATCAGACTTAGTGTTTTGTTGGGAGTCAAAATAGAAGAAACATCATTGAAAAGGTATCCTCCAAGAAAAAAATTAGGCCTAGAAATCTGTCTGCACATTTCGTAAAATAAAGGCCGATCTCCACAGAGGTTTGCAGAAAATAAGGCTTTGACCTAGGAATAATCTAATCTAGGCCCTAGGCTAGGCAATAGGCCTACTACTACTGTAGCTTACTGTAGGCATCATAGGGCCTAGCCTAGGCTAGTTACGATTCTCCGCACCTCCTCCTAGCGATTATCTGCTCTATTTTGAGCTAATTTTTTAAGGTATCATCCGCGCAATTAAAATACTAGCCTAGGCGTAGAGGCTAGAAATTATAGGCCCTAGGCTAGGCCTACTAGCTAGAGAGAGAGGTCCAGAGGCCTAGCCTAGTTTACTTCCTAGGCCTAGAACTAGGGTAGGCATAGGCCCTAGTAGAGTAGTAGTAGTACCGGCCAGCAGCACATCATCAAAATGAACTTTATACATCATAGCCTAGCCTACCTAGGACCATAGATGCCTAGCCTACTAGGCCTAGGCCCTAGGCTTATTTAGACACAATGGGATTCAATTAGAATCTAGGCTACTCTACCTGGAAACCAAGGCATCGACCATAAAAACACTCCCTATCCAATGCCTGGGCCTCCATCAACTCTGTCTCTGGAAATTCATTTTCGTTTGTAAATAATTCCCCTGTTTCAGCATAAGCAAATACATTCTGAGCGTAGGCAAGCATTCGCCGCAATTGAGATATAGCTCTGGAATACGCATCGAGCTCCTTACAATAATGACCACCTCTGAACATCATACTGTCTCTGTTCCTGGTTATGTGCTGGCATAAGGTTATCAGACGGCCTACGCATTTCTCTACCACTGTCAGCAGACTGCGATAACCATTCCCGGGAATGCATGGATCGAAATCGAAGTCGCCTGCCGCTCGTTCTAAGGCTTCGAGTGCGGGTTTCAAGGCGTCTGTTTCCTGTTCCAAATGACAGAATATAGTAAAAAAATGTTCAGCATACTTAGACTTTGATGTCTGGTAATGTTCAATATTGTTAATAAGGAGTGTACGAAGGGTTTTTATAGGCCAAAAAATAGATTTTTCACCTAGTTCAGGTTGTATACCCAGTACTCCTTCGTCTTCCATCGCATATTTTATCCGAAAGAAAAAACAGAAATGCTGAAATCTATGAAACGCCGTTAGTATCTTCGGTTATGTGCAAACACCATAGAGCTGTTAAACAACTAGAGTGCTGACATGATGGCGCAGCAATGCAGAGTTATGTATGTGTACCATCCAAGATGGCCGTCGTAGTAAAGCGCCACCCATATTTTTCCTTTATGGGATCCGTCTGGGCAATCACATATGGGCCTTGCCCATGGTTTACCCATATGGAGCCCATATGCCAAATATATAGGCAAATATATATGGGAATGCCCATATTTAAAGTACATGGGCCCCATATGGTAAATACCTGGGCAGAT